CCGGGAGGTTTGCTGGGAGGGTAACAGCGGTGTCCGCCTCACGGCCACCCCAGGAGGTGCTGCAGCTGCTGAAACACTTCGCGTTCCTAACAGTTCGTGCAAAGTGAGCGTGGTCTGGTAGTCACTCTTAGGCAAAATTAATCGGTGTGTAAAGTGGAGGGTGTCCCTGCCCATGGCAGGGGGGTTGGAACTCGATGATCTTTAAGGTCCCTTCCAACCCAAACCATTCTATGGTTCTTTGACTTCAAAGATGTGTCAGGACTCTTCTCTATATAAGGTGTCTTTACTCTTTCTGTTGACAAGCTGTTTTTTATAGGCAAAAGCCCCAGGCGTTTATTTCAAGAAACATGTTTGAAATGTGTTTTGCTGTAGAGCAGGTAATATTAACACAGAGCTTCCTACGTCACTGGTAGAATTTGTGGCTAAAGTGGACGCTTTAGGATGACAGCAAACCTTCATATCAGGTTGTGTTCATACATAAAGTTCTACCCCGTTTTAAAGGGAGACTAAATTTTTTGAGGTTTTAGTCAGGGCTGAGGATCATCATCACAGGTGATATTTTTCACCCAAGATCTTAAAGCATTTTACAGTGACAGATACTGTTATGTTTTTTACTGTGTGGGTTAGAGAAATCAAGGAGGTGATTGTGTCAGGTGACGTGCTCAAGGTCATGCAGCAAAGCTGCGAATATAGGTAATTCCCATGTGGCCCGTTAAAAGTGTATTACCAGAAATTCTGGCATCCTTTCTCTAACCCCATGCTTTGCTGAATGTTTATGTATGAACTGAGGCAGCTTAAAAAAGGAGCACTAGAGAACTTCTGGGGAGGGATTTGTTTAGCAGAAGGGACAAGGTACAAGTGCTTAGACATTTTTAAGCAACTGCATCTGAGTAATTGAAGCCTTTCTGGAACTGGAGGGCTTGAGGAAAGATCAGCTATCTGCAGGCACTGTTAGTGAGTGCTCATGGCTTTTAAATGCATTCTGCAAAAAGTAATTAATTGGAGTTGAGGCAAATAACAGTAAATATAAGCAACTGCAGCTGAAAAGAGAAAGAAAGAATAAGGAACCTTATGCAGAGCTGTGGGGCAGGTACTTTGCGTTGTTAAGTACTTTTTGCAATATTACAGTGCCAGTGTGAAACGAACAGCAAGGGCCAGAAAGCTGAAGGCAGGTTTTGCACAAACAGTGCCAGATGTGTCAGTGCTGTTACTGCAATGTTTAAAGCAGGAACATAGCATCAATTATCAGGACTATTTAAAAAAGAAAAAAGGGGGAGGTTGAGGGAGAGCCCGGCTCCTTGCAGCTCCATCCTCGTGTTGTTCTTCCCCAGCCTCTGCACTGACGTCGCGATGACACGGTGAAGCTGAAGACAGGAGGTGGGAACATTTCTTCTGCTTCACTTTTGATAATTGAGCGAATTTGTTGCCTCCGTTCCTTCCAGCATGGCTAAGAGTGCAGAAGTGAAGCTTGCGATCTTTGGTCGAGCCGGCGTGGGCAAGTCAGGTATGTTTGCTGTCCATTTTTTTCTTTTGCTTGTCATCAGGTAACTTTTTGCTCTCTCAGTGCAGACAAACTCTATGTGCAAAAAGACAGCTGTGACCTCATTCTTGTCAGGGAGGTCAGGATCAGGCCAGGAGTTCTCTCTTTCTTGCTTTCCACACTATTTCCTCCAGAATAAAAGTACTTTTATCACTTTAAAAAAAACCACCACCAACAACAAAAAACCAGACTTCCCACTGTGGGAATAAAGATCTGTTGGTTAGTAAAAATGTAAAGTGACCTTCAGGTTAGAGAATGATTGTGGACAAGTGAGGCAGCACTGCAGAAAACCCTACTGCAAGCATGAGAAGTAGCAGGTCCAAAACACCATGTAGTGGAAAACAGACAAAACCTGAAGGTCAGTAGAATGTAAAAAAACCCCTGAGATTATGTAATCCTTGGGAATAAATTGGGAATTTATATACAGGACAGTAGCATTTGCTCCCTCTTCAGCAAATCAGAGTGTGTTTGGTGTGTTTCAGCGCGCCGCGCCGATGCCGACAGGCCGGAGATTGGTATCCCACCCCCACTCAGTCCCACTTCTCGTGGAATGGCAAGATTCCTCTTTCTATTGGAACAGAATTAGTAAAGTTTAATTTGTCTCTTCATAGCTTGTGCTAGATGAAGGTATTTATGGTATGCTCCCTATCCTCTAAAATCAGATCCTCTATTAAATATTGGATGACTGCTGTAATAGCTGTAATTCTGATTGATTTCAGTGGGAAATTTTAGACTTAGCAACTCAAAGAATTTCTATTCTCACTACTCTCTTGGATTTACATATTTACCAGAAAAACCAAGAAAATATGATGTGTAAAGTTTGCATTTGGAGAGATCTTTTGAGAAATAAACATAGTCTGGTGAGTTCATATGGTAGAAACACAAGGGGGAGGCATAAATATTAAAAATCTGTTTCTACAGCCAGCCTTTCCTTTGGTGAGACAAAGAGCGTAATGCGAGAGTTGCAAGCTCTCTCGGGTAGTTTGGTGGTGTTGCATTAACTTGACAGCTCCAGGACCACTCTCACAGGGCCTTGCACCACAGGGATGAGGAAATAAGGAGACTGAGTTTAATCATGCTCCTCTGTGAGTTTGGGAATTGTAAGATCCTGTTTATGTTAGAAAAGTCTGCGCAAGAGAAGCCAGGAGGGAGGATGTACTGGTAAGAGCATAGGCTAGACTCTCAGCTGCTGTCAACCAGCTCCGCTTCCCCAAAGTGACTTTTGTATTAGAAGTGCCAAGGTTCTGGCCCATGAATGTATTATAGTTTCATTAGCTTCAGAATGGGTTGTTTTTCAAAGTGCATATACCCAGAAGGTATTTTACCAGAACACTATCAGTGAAGCAGCTCTGTCAGTCTTCAGGAAAAAAGGCATATGTGAGGCAGAGATTGTTAGAGATTATACTGCTTATACAAAGACAATGCAGATTAAATTCTATCTTTTTGAATAAAATACCTAAGGGAGTGCTGATAACATACTTGGATAAGTTTAAACTGTTCCTTCTCTCCTGCTGTGCTCACCCCACCCCTCTTTTGTATTTGTATGTCACTGTCCTGTCCAAGTTTTGCGAGTAACTTCAGTGGTTCTCCTTTTGGTTTGTCTTGCATTTGATTGATGCTTTCTGTGGTTGTCAAGTCTTTTGGTTGGATTCAAAATAATACAAGAGGATGTTGAAGTATTTGCAGGAAAATTGAAACACTAAAAGACTCCGCTAACCCTGATATTCGTAATCATTTGAGATCTTATTTTAGAAAACACAGAACTACCAGTTAAGTGCTCAGTTAAAATGCTTTACCATCATTGGATCAACAACAGCCAATTTTACCTTTTGTATCCTTTTTGTAGACTTTGCTATACTAGGATCTTATGGTAAAAATGTTTTCTGTAGTCCTAGAACTGGGTGAGATATAATTTTTAATGAAAAGCCACTAAAAACATCCTAGTCCTTCAGAGTCCTCCTCCTCTCTCTCTTTTCTTTTTTTTTTTCCCCCTCTGAGAGGGAAGGAAATATTACATAAAATATGACTAATGTCCCTTCTTTTTGACTGTGACCACACATGTGAATCTGTGTGGAAATGAAGGTGCAAATAAGTGGGCAGCACAACAAGATGAATTTAAGGGGGTGGAGAGACTACAGAGTGCTGTCAGCCACCTCAACAGAGTAGCAACTCTGCCTCCCAGGATCTCCAGCTTCCTTATGAAAACCCCTCTTGCTTATGAACTCCCATAAAAGGACCCTGTTTCAGCAGCTTGGCCAACGCCAGAGAAATAAGTGGTGGTGGGGTGATGTGGTGTGTGTCCGAAAATATGTATTTGCCTGTAGCCAACAGGGGAGCTGTGGTTGTGCTGTTAAACCTTTGCTAAAACCAGAGCTGGACACAAAGTTGTCTCCAGATAGCTGCGTTTGGCAGGTAAGTACCCTGCTAGATTAGTGTTGATAGTTGTGTCTTTTTTTAGTGTGGCCCTGTAATTCCCTATCCCTGTGACCAGTTTGTAATATGTTGTTGAGACAGGATCCTGTGGCCATAGGTTACTGGAGTAGGCTTGGCCAGACAACCGAAAGATAAGCCAGACTCTAGAAGCAAGAATGCAAGGCAGAATGCTGGAGCACGCTAGATACGTGTGATGAAAAGGAGACGTTAGGTGATAAATAAGGCCACTGTAAATGCCAGCAAGTCATGCCAAAGTATGGTCACTGGCTCGCTTTCCTGGCTCATCTTCATTTGCTGAGGAAGAGCCAGGCATTAGGTTCTTAATCTGTAAGTGGCTTCACCACCTGACAGCATCTCTGAATTTACAGACACATATTGTAATAAACTGGAGAGGCTCCTCTTCCAGTTCCTGACCGGGACTTTGGATCAGAGAGTCAAAGCAGCTATGAAGAAAGAAGTGTTGTGCTTTGGGACATGTGGAGAATTAAAGCTGTCCCTCACACACCATGGAAGTCAATAGAACTGTTGCCATTACTGAGAGCTGAGGAACATTAATGCTAGACACCTGTTTAATGGTGCAAGATTCATCGTTCTATTAAGTAGTCCAACTTAACTTCCAACTAATCCAAGACTCTCCCAAACACGAGGTTGGAAACCGGAACACTGTTCACAAGTCAGAAAAGTGACAGCATCTCAAACAAAGAGTTAAAGCCAGGGAAAACAAAACTTTTCTCCACTTTCTTGCTACTTATCAAGTTTCCACGGTTCAAAGGTTTAAAAAACAGACAAGGGGGAATAGCAAGTCTTGAGTGTCAGCTTTTTACTGTTCTCCTTCCTTGCCTTGTCTCCTCCCATCTACTGGAGAAGGCCAGCAGAATTGCAAACCAACTCACCTGTCCTGTCCTGTTTTGTTTTATTTACTTAATGTAGACCTGAACCTTTCAAATAGAAAAGGAGGAACAAACAAACTCGGAAAGGGGCACATAAGAGTGCTCTATTAAAACAGTTAGTTCAGAATTACATTGAGTAATAAACCACTGATCAGCTCGGCTTTCTCACTCACCAGATACCACCATCCCAACCTGCTCTTATACAGTGGACTGGATGCTCCTCCATTCACCCAGCTCTTATTGTATCACTGTTGAATGAACATTGCTTTAAACTAGCTGAAGAAAACCAGATGAGAAGCCCTGCCTGAGCCAAGGAACACTTTGCTGCTGCTTTGCTTGGGAAGAAGAGGAGACCATCTGTGGGTGGGAAGGGAGATTGTTAAGCCCTGCGATAAATAACAGGTCTGCACCTCCTAATTTGGGCTAGAGTCAAGTGGCACTGAGGGGGAGAGAGTGCTTTTAAAGTCTTTTTTCTTTATGTCCAAGAGGAGCTTGGGAGGGAGCAAAGAATTCAAGTTGAAGTGAATTACTTAAACATTGCTTTAAAAATTGTTCTTCTGCTGAATCCTACAGCTTCATTCCTATGGTAACAAAAGTTAGAATTTCCTAAATAGCTCCTTTTAAAAATACAGTAGTAACAATTAATAAAATATTAAAGGCCTTGTTCTTCCATGTCATCATAAGGTACAGTGTGTGCCCAGAAAGCTGAAGAAGAGTGAAAATGTATGAAGCAGGACAAGAAAAGAAGGGCATGTACCAGATAGCATTTCATGGTTGATGCTTTTCCAACTCATAATTCAGTTGACTATGAATGCTCAAAATACCTCTGCTTAGGAGCCTTTATATTTGGCCAAAAAAGAGAGAATGTCCAGCTGTGGCATGTGCTATCCAACTTGCCTTTTTGCTGCGTGTGTGCCAGGCTGAATATTCCAAGTTTCTTTGTTAGCATGTATGGTGTGCCAGGCCATGGGCAGATGCAGTTCTCATCTGTCTGAAAGGGCTGTTCAGTTGCAGCCGTGGTATGTGACACAAGAGTGTGTAGGGTTTCTACTGGTGCTTAAGCGACAGGGAAGATGCTAAAGCTCCCACAGCCTCCACCCAGTAAACATGGGTCTGCTTCTAGGCAGCTATGCAAATAATTTTCTTATGCAGTCAGGTACATGAGACATGGGGCTGTTGTCACCTTTTGGTACAGCAATAGCTCAGATGCTTGCATTTTGTGAAAAGGGTGATCAATAAAGCGGCATTAGTCAAGACCATCCTGCAAAGAGGCTGTCCCATCTCAGAAATTAAGATCTCGCCAACTTCAGTCATTTTAGTGTCACAGTTGTGAAAGTCCTGAGTAGATATAGATTTGTATCTGTTGGCTTATGCTATTTTCACCCCTCTAACCCAGGATAGGGGAACATACTTGGGAAAAATATATCTGGATTTGAAAGTTCTTACAGAAGAAATTCAAGCAACAGCCAAGCCAGAGAGGCTTATAACAAATGTGTTTTGTTTTCGTTATCTGGGCATATGTCTGAAATATACTACCAGGGATCACTTCCCAATGGCAAGGTCTGGGCATGTGGGGAATATAACTGAATGCAGTGCTGCAGCCCCGCTGCCCTTCAAAGCCCATATGGGTTACCGGGAAGG